GGGACAGTGTAGACGGCTGGAAAGTTTTTCCGCAAAAGCATCTGCTTTTGCAGAAAAACTTGCCAGTCTAGACACAGCCAGCAGGTATGTGGGTTCCACTAACACCTGCTTTTATCTCAACACAGGATTCTTGCCGTGAGATCACCTTGGTTACTTGATTCCATGGCACAGTCCAACGTTATGTTCTCATTTCAGATATCATATGGCACCAATCAACTTCACTGGCTTCTGGTTAAAAGATATGCCTGGAATGCATTGTCATTATGTTACATCGAAGCATGATTTCACCGAGGGAAATGGAGGAACAAAAACCAACAAAAAGCCAAAGCTGTAGCATGATCATCATATAATGCAAAAAGGACTGTGCGTAGATTGCTTTTGGCCGGCCTGAGGTTATACTATTTCAATTAAACCCAGCTGGCGTCAGCTATATTTAGAGACATTTGGTTTTGGAGGGGTTTTTTTTTTTAAATTGATGTGACTGAAAAGAGTTTCAGAAGAGCAAAGACGGACAAGTTCTGATTGCTATCTTCTAATGCGAGAGCGTTTCAGATGAAATGCAATGGCGAAGCATAATTAAATTGCCCCTAAATGGAAGGAAGGCTGTCGCACGGGGCCTTGAGATGGGGAATGGAATGTAGTATCTCTGAGGCATGCTGTGGTTTCGATTTGCAACCGTAACATGATTACCTGTCCCATTCTGCTTCCCGGTCTGGGTTAAAACAGATGTAGTTCTTCTCCAGTTCTTAGTGAACACGAGTTTATTGACTGGCCTGCCATCTGTGCAAACGGGTTGAAAAATGGGGAAAATTAAAACGTTGCCAACATGGTCAAAGTTGTTCACACTTCACAGGGTTTCAACTGGACTGGCTCCTTTCTTTTGGTGATTTTTAAATCAATGTTTTCTCTAATTGCTGTCAAATCTTGTTTGCAATTTTTCACTTTGGGTAAATGAGGGGGTCAGACAAAGGTCCATCTAGCTCAGTGTCCTTTCTGCCAACAGTGGCCAATGCCAGGTGCCTCAGAGGGAGGGAACACAACAGGTAATCCTCACGTGATCCCTCCCCTGTCACCCACCTCCAGAGAAACAGAGGCTAGGGACACCATTCCTACCCATCCTGGCTAATAGCCATTGATGGACCTAACCTCCATGAATCTATCTAGCTCTTTTTGGAACTCTGCTAAAGTCCTAGTCTTCACCACATCCTCTGGCAAGGAGTTCCACAGGTTGACTGTGTGCTGAGTGAAGAAAAACTTCCTGTTGTTTGTTTTAAATCTGCTGCCTATTAATTTCATTTGGTGCCCTCTAGTTCTTATATTGTGGGAATAAGTCAATAACTTTTCCTTATTCACTTTATTTTCATACCAGTGGATACATATTTGCATGAAAACTGTTTTGAAAAGAGGAAAGTTTCTAGAAGAGGGTCAGGTTTTCCTGAACTTTTTTCATTTTTGAAAAATAAACTTCTTTGCCTGCCAAAGTTTTTGACCACTTCTCTCTCTGTCCATTATCACCACAGACTTTGAGCTTTACTTGTCACAGCAAAGTTATCTGATGTTTGGGGAAATTGTGAGTTTCCCAGCTAACAGGGTGCCTGACAAATTGAAGCAGCGTCTGCTTTTTATGAGAGAATGAGAACAGTTGCTTTGCCAGCAGTTCACATGCAAGCCTTTCCTTCTTGACAACCCAGCTGGGAGCTAGAGTGACAAGATGTGTGATTTCTAGTCTACGTGTGGCTGTTCTCATTACACATGTCATTTAAAGCAACACAGCCAGAGCAAATTACAAATTCTTAACAACTCAGAAAACCCACCAGGCAAATTGTCTCACTCATACTTGATTTTCCCCTTCGTCTTCCTTTCTTTTTTCCTATTTTTTAAAATAGTTTTCAAAGCTGGTGTATCTGGAGGAAAGTTCCAGTGTAGACCTCTGTGATTTATAGGATGTACTGCTCTTATGGCTAGCAATAGTAGCCTGTTATCTTTTCATAAAGGACAGCCACTAGGGAGTAATATGATTGAGCTACTGACAGGGTACATCTAAACTACATCCCTTTTTCGATAAAGGGATGTAAATTAGATGTATCAAAATTGGAAATGAAGCCAGGATTTGAATTTCCCGTGCTTCATTTACATAATAGCGGCCGCGTTTTTTCCCCGAAATGCTCCATTTCGAAAGATCCTATAACCCTCATTTTTTTGAAAGATCGTTTTTTGAGGGTTACAGGATCTTCCGGAATGGGGCATTTCTGTCGAGAGATCCCCGTCTTGACTGCGTATTTTTTTTTTTAAAGCGGCTTTTAGAAAAAAAAGCCACGGTCGCCATTATGTAAATGAAGCACGGGAAAGTCCAATCCCAGCTTCATTTACAATTTTGATACATCTAATGTACATCCCTTTATTGAAAAAGGGATATAGTTTAGATGTACCCACAATGTTCAGCTTCCATGTTGAGTTCAATTCAGTTCAATTTTGAGGGAAAATACAGGACTATGTAGCACTTTAAAGACTAACAAGATGGTTTATTAGATGATGAGCTTTCGTGGGCCAGACCCACTTCCTCAGATCAAGTAGTGGAAGAAAATAGTCACAACCATATATACCAAAGGATACAATTAAAAAAAATGAACACATATGAAAAGGACAAATCACATTTCAGAACAGGAGGAGGATGCAGGGGGGGGAAGGAAGGAAGGTAAGTGTCTGTGAATTGACGATATTAGAGGTGGGGAGAGTTAGATGTCTGTGAGCTAATGGTATTAGAGGTGATAATTGGGGAAGCTATCTTGGTAATGGGTAAGATAGTTAGAGTCTTTGTTCATTCCTTCTCGGAGAGTGTCGAATTTTAACATGAATGACAGTTCAGAGGATTCCCTTTCAAGTGCAGATGTAAAAGGTCTTTGTAGCAGAATGCAGGTGGTTAAGTCATCGAGAGAGTGTCCTTTCTGGTTGAAATGGAAAGAAACTGTTTTTTCTTTGTGATCTTGTCTGATATCTGTTTTGTGGGCATTGATCCTTCGCCAAAGGGTAGCCATACCCGAAGTGTGTACAGGGCCAGCCGGCTGGAGGTACTACCATTGTATATTTTTTAGGAGAACGGGACTGCAGCAAGGGGGTGGATGGGAAAACCCCAACTAAACCACATCACCACTGGGGTACTCAGGATCTCCTTTTATGTTAAAACATCAGGCGCCCAGGCACACCTGCGAGTGTGACCTGCTCCCGAGTAACCCAGGGAGGAAAGATACACTGGCATTAGAAAAAGTTCAGAGAAGGGCAACTAAAATGATTAGGGGGTTGGAACGGGTCCCATAGGAGGAGAGATTAAAGAGACTGGGACTTTTCAGCTTGGAAAAGAGGAGACTGAGGGGGGATATGAGAGAGGTCTATAAAATCATGAGTGGTGTGGAGAAAGTGAATAAGGAAAAGTTATTTACTTGTTCCCATAATATAAGAACTAGGGGCCACCAAATGAAACTAATGGGCAGCAGGTTTAAAACAAATAAAAGGAAGTTCTTCTTCACACAGCGCATAGTCAATCTGTGGAACTCCTTGCCTGAGGAGGCTGTGAAGGCTAGGACTATAATAGGGTTTAAAAGAGAACTAGATAAATTCATGGAGGTTAAGTCCATCAATGGCTAGTAACCAGTATGGGTAAGGAATGGTGTCCCTAGCCTCTGTTTGTCTGAGGATGGGGGTGGATGGCAGGAGAGAGATCGCTTTATCGTTACCTGTTGAATTCACTCCCTCTGGGACACCTGGCATTAGCCACTGTGGGCAGACAGGCTACTGGGCTGGATGGACCTTTGGTCTGACCCAGTATGGCCGTTCTTATGTTCTTATGAAAAAGGGGATTACACTTAATTCCAAGAAAGATGCTTCATGCTTTTACTGCAGGGGTTCACGCCCTGCTGGGGGTTCACATGTGGTGGCTCTGTAGTAGAATGAGGACATGTCTACACAGCAGAGCTAAAGCCGATATACGCTACGCAACTGGAGCTACGTCACTTGCGTAGCTTTTGTTTAAATAGCTTATTTTGGCTATTGACGATGTCTACACAGCAGAAAGTCCGAGATAGAGCCCTCTTCCTCCGATTTCCCTTACTCCTTGTACAATGAGGGTTACGGGAATTGGAGTGAGACGTCCTCCAGCTTGACAGTATTTCGACATTATTTCGAAATAACTGCCTGCTGTGTAGACACGGACTGTGTCCGTTATTCCAAAATAATGCTTCTGTGTAGACCTAGCCTGACAGAATTAGTGGTTTCCATTCTGCCTAGGTGGAGACCCTGTTTCTGGAGTGCCGCTTAAAGGGCGTGTGTTCTATGAAACAAATCCTGACCCAAATTCTGTGCTGGTAAAAGGTATCAGGGTGATTGTGCTACACACTGGAGGCAAATAAATAACAAACTGAAATATGACCAGTCTGATAAGTGTAAAGTTACCCCCCAGCGCTGACAGGTCATCACAGTTAATGCCTCCAATTAACACAAAACAAAGTAGGGGTTTTTTTTTCAAAAAAAATAAGTGAACTGAAGATCGAATTGTACTGATAAACAAAACACTGTAAAATGTCAAGAGCCAACAAATGCATGCAGCCCTGTTTCTTGTTCGACCTCTGGCTAAGACATACTAATTGGCTTACTGAAAAAACAACAAACCATCTTGTAGCACTTTATAGACTAACAAAACATATAGATGAGAGAATGCTTCCCGCTTCTTATTTATAGGGCCACCTGATAGTGGGAAGAGATATTTGCAGGGCAGTGAAGAAAAGTTTAGAAAAGAGGAGACTGAGGGGGGATATGATAGAGGTCTATAAAATCATGAGTGGTGTGGAGAGGGCTGATAAAGAAAAGTTATTTATTAGTTCCCATCATATAAGAACTAGAGGACACCAAATGAAATTAATGGGTAGCAGGTTTAAAACTAATAAAAGAAAGTTCTTCTTCACACAGCGTGTAGTCAACCTGTGGAACTCCTTGCCAGAGGAGGCTGTGAAGGCTAGGACTATAATAGAGTTTAAAGAGAAGCTGGATAAATTCATGGAGGTTAGGTCCATAAAAGGCTATTAGCCAGGGGATAAAATGGTGTCCTTGGCCTCTGTCTGTCAGAGGCTGGAGAGGGATGGCAGGAGACAAATTGCTTGATCATTGTCTTCGGGCCACCCTCTCTGGGGCACCTGGTGCTGGCCACCGTCGGGAGACAGGATACTGGGCTAGAAGGACCTTTGGTCTGACCGAGTACGGCCGTTCTTATGTTCTTATGTTCAGTGTGGTCGCCAGATGTGAGAAATGTTCGCATGCCCCTTCGTGCTTCAACTTGAAGTTCCTCATTGTTGTGTTTTTGAGTGCCACAACTAAACCCTTATATTCCAAGTGGGGCACAGCTCATCTACAAGTCTCCTCCACTTCACTCTGTCTTGAGACAAAACTTCTAGCTGACTCCAGGAGTACCCCAATCTCAGTAGATCTTCTCCACGTTGTCCGAGGTCTTCCTCATTTGTGTTTTCCTTGTGTGTTTCGATGACCTGGAGAGCTATGCCAGAGGGAGCTACAGTTCCTGGAAAGGTCACCCAAATTGGACAGGTCAAAGGGTAGAGACCAGACAAATTTGGACCACCTCTCCCCGAGGTGAAAGGGGTTGGCTTAGGGTTAATAACCCTATCCGTAAAAAAAAAAAACCCAAAAGTTACAGAAACACCTACAAAGAAACCATACATCTGTTGTTGAGTACCGTTAGGTAAAATAATACCCATGCCATCTTTGTCACTTGCGGCTGTACATCAACACAACGTCGGTTGGCTTAATGTTGTCGTGGAGACTTGTCCGGTCTCCAGTGGACGTAAATGAAGTTCTCTGGCCGGAGTTATGCAGGTCAGACGAGAGGATTATCAAAGTCACGGTTCCCTGCGCGGCCACGCAGAAAACATTCTGGGCCTGCCCCACTTCCTTTGCAGATCCG